TCGGGAGGGCGGACAGCACGCGGGACTTGTGATCCTGTGGTCCTGGGTTCGATCCCAGGCGCCGGCGAGAAACAATGGGCAGAGTTTCTTTCACCCTATGCCCCTGTTACCTAGCAGTAAAATAGGTACCTGGGTGTTAGTCAGCTGTCACAGGCTGCTTCCTGGGGGTGGAGGCCTGGTCGAGGACCGGGCCGCGGGGACAATAAAGCCCCGAAATCATCTCAAGATAACCTCGAGATAAGATAACCAAGTTTTTGCCCGAAACGCTATTAGTATTAGTGGCTTTAGGTATTTTATGTACTAGCCCTATATATAAGTCCAACATTATGTTTGTAAAACAACTATGTATATACTTTTCCTGAATAAAAATTTATTTATTATTATTTATTTACATTAGCCAATAAGCTCCAGGGAGCCATAGGGGCTCCCCACAGAAAAAAAAATCTAAGGTTCTGCCATCTGTGGGCCAGGTTGACATCAACCAATTTCCTCCAAGATTGGCACCCTTACAGATAGGCAAGCTTACTGTAAGATAGGCTTACTACAGATAGACTGCACCTTACGTGCAGTCAGGTGTATAAGTTTCACGGAAATCGTCCGAATAAACAAATAAGAAAAACAAATGAAAACAAAACTATTTTTTTAACTAAATTTTGTTTGGATAAAACTAATTATTAAATATTTTTATTATATGCTATTGTAATACCTGTGAGTCATAGACATGATTTCAGTTGACACTTGTGTTTGATAATTTTTGACCATTTTGGAAATTTTTTGACAATTCAATATTTTTGTCCTCCCTTCCTATTTACGCTACTATGCTGAGACTTGGACCAGATGAAACCCTTTTCATATACAACTTGACAAAAAAGTTTGATTGAAACAAACTAATTCTCATTAGCTTGTTTCACTAATGAAATCGAAAATCGAAAATCGAAACTCAATTTAACGGCCTCTTTTATACCGATCTGCCGGTAATAACGACCGGTTTGGGAGACCGGTATCTGGAGCCTCGTATACTGGTCTAGCGGTCGATACTACCGACGGTCGGTATTGGGTTTGTTGTGGCATCAGCATCTTCTCACATGGCAACCAGGCCACAGACCTCGATCGTCCAGAGTCATATATTACATCTTAATTTTCTTTTAAAATGATTCAGTTTAATGAAGAAAATTCTAAATTATTATTAATAGAATATTTTGAAACAGTTGTTATTAAGCAAAAGTCTTTGTTATCTTATTAAATACCTTTTATAGTATAGGCACTAGGTATTTTTTTTCCCACGGACCTAGAATGTACTGTGCCATGTGTTCCCATTGTTTACTGTGAACTCACATGGCTAGCTTCATTTGTGAAGGACATTACTGTTAATTGTGATCTTCCTTTAAATTTACAAAATGCCAAAAGTTACCCAAAGGAAGCGCCTGACGGTTGCACAAAAGCTGGAGTTAATTAAGAAACTCGATAAAGGATATTCTCATGCATGAGCAACAGCAGAGTTTAACATCAGGAAAAGTACAGTAAGTGACATCAAGAAACAGAAGGATACTCTATTAAAATATGTGAGCACAACAGAGTGTGCTACTTCTGGTGCTGCATGTTCGAGAAAAACAGTAGTCTGGTCAGTATCCACAATTGGATGCTGCAGTGTATAAGTGGTTTATTCAGCACCGCACAATTGGCATGGCAATACGATTTGAAGAACTTAAAGTTGCAGCAAATAAACTTGCCATTCAATTAGGTATAAAAAGATTTCAATGCAAGTGATGGGTGGGTTGGAAGATTTAAGGCTCGACATAACATTTCAAACACCAAAAAAATTTCTGGTGAGGCGTCAAATGCTGATCTCACTAATGTTGATTCATTCAAGGCTAAATTAAACAAGTACATTGTCAGTAATAATTTAAGCAAATATCAAGTATATAATGCTGACGAGTCTGGGTTTATGTGACGAGCTGTACCAAGTACATCCTTAACCAGTAGGATGCAGGAAAATATTCCAAGATGAAAGATAGGCAAGGAACGACTCTCAGTCTTGCTATGTGCTAATGCTGATGCCTCTCGCAGAACAAAATGTGCCGTGGTAGGCAAGTCTAAAAATCCTCGAGCCTAAAAAATATAATGCAGGCATTACCCGTAATATATTACAGTTCTAAGAAATCATAGTTTAATCAAACAATATTAACGTACTGGTTTGAAAACCACTTTTGCAAAGAAGTTAGAGAATTCCAGATCAACAAATGTGGAATAAAGGCCAGTGAGGTTAAGGCATTGTTGCTGCTAGATAATGCCCCTGCTCATCCCATTAGCAAGTTAATTTCAAGGGATGGCAGAATAAAATGCATGGTACTTCCACCAAACACAACATCCTTGATCCAGCCCATGGACCACGGTGTTATCCTTGCTGCTAAACGTATGTACCAAACAGCAATGCTTGAAGATGTTTTAGTTGTTTTATTTAGCGAGGAAGATTAATTGACAGGAAAGGATACAAGGGCTCAAAGAACACTAGAAAATCTAAAAAAAAATACACAATCAGGGAAGCAATATGCCACTGGGCTAGGCTTTGGAATAAAGTGAAAGAAACCATACTAACAACTTCATGTTAGAAACTTAACAGAGAGGCCTAGATGTGACGTAGCAGTATCTGATAGTGAATTCAAAGGCTTTGAAAATGAAGCCAATGATTTTGAAGGGTTTGAAGAAACGATCCGAACAATGTTGTTCCAAGCTGGTCAGGGTGTACAAGTGAATGATATCAATGAATGGTTAGAAAATGATTACGATCCTGGTTATGAATTGTTAACTGAAGAACAGATTGCTCAAAGTGTTCTCGGAAATGACTGATGACTCGGACGATGTTAGTGAGGCTCTGCCTAGAGGTGTTGGATATCAGAAAAGATTAGAACAAATTGACATGGGTTGGACATGTATATGAGTGGGATTGGGTGGTTATAGATAGGAGCTGCCTCGTATGGGCCAATAGGCCTTCAGCAGTTGCCTTTATTCTTATGTTCTTATGTTCTTATCCTACGCTGGACACGTTCAAGTGAATTTATATCCATTCTATAGTATGGCGACCAAAACTGAACTGCATAATCTAAATGGGGCCTAATCAGAGCAAGATATAGCTGAAGACCACCACCAGGTGTCTTGTTACTAACGCTTCGATTAATAAATCCCAGTGTCCTATTTGCCTTATTACGAACATTCAGGCATGGATCCTTTTGTTTTAAATTCTTACTAATCATAACTCCTATTGAAATCAGCTTTTCGACAATCAGGCACTTTAACAGAATTTTCTCCTACAGATCTATTCCATTCTATGCTAAATCTGATTTCTTTATGATCACTGTTCCCTAGCTCACTCCCTATTTCCATGGCCTTAATTTGTGTTTCCCTGTTAGTTAACACTAAATCTAAAATATTATTTCCCCACGTTGGTTCCTTAATGTGTTGCGTAAGAAAGCAATTGTCAATTAATTCTAGAAAGTCTTCTGCTTCATTATTTCCTGTTTTGCTCACCCAGTTTATTCCACTAAAATTAAAGTCACCCATGACATAAATACTGTTAGATCTAGATGCTCTAGATATTTCATCCCATAGATACTTTGCTTCCATTCTGTCTAAATTTGGTGGCCTATATATAACTCCTAATATAATAATATTTGCTTTTTCGTTTAATTCTATCCAAATAGTTTCTGTGTGAGGCTCAATTTTGATTCCCTCTTTGAGACTACATTTCAAATTGTCCCTAACATATATGGCTACTCCCCCTCCTCATCTAATATATCTATCTGTGTGAAATAGTTTAAATTCATTTATTTGATATTCAGCTAATAGTTCTCTATTTTCTACATTCATCCACGTTTCGGTAAGTGCAATAATATCTATTTCTTCTGTACAGATAAGAGCATTTAACTCGTTTACTGTATTTTGTTTCTTAGACTTCTACTGTTAGCGTAATATACCCTAAGTGAATTGTTATTTTGAGGCCCTTCTCTTTCCTTGATCATTTTGCCAATTTGTTTCTCCAACAAACACATACTTTTATTACCTTCTTTCTCCCTATCAATTCCCATACCACTATCTACTAACAGTTTAAACCCAAACAAATGCCTCTAACCACTGGTTCCAACGAGTTCGCAACAGCAACAACCCCAGCCCTCGATAGATGCACCCCATCACGAGCATACATTTCATTTCTTCCATAGAATTGTTCCCAGTTGTCTATGAAAGATATTGCATTTGATTTCCAATATCTTTCCAGCCGGCAATTGACACCAAGTGCCCTCGACAACCAATCATTCCCAACGCTCTTTCTTGGGAGAATGCCACATACGATCGGGATTCCTCCCTTGCTCCTAACTAATTCTATGGCTTTGTTAAATTTCTTTATCAGTTCCTCACTCCTAACTCGTCCAACAGAACACCACTTAGCTTCTTCCTCAGACGTGTTTCTTTCCCTGCTTTCATCCTGGAATGGTTCTGTTCTTGATCACTATCCATCTTGGAGTAGATGTAGTAGTGTTTATAAAGGCAGTAACAAATATAGCTGAGGAAAAATAGCCAGAACGGGCACATGTGTTGGACGCAAGGGGAGAATAGACACAGTAACAATGGGCCTACCGTGTGGGAGGCAGTGCCGTGATGCCACCTGGGCCATCACAGAAAATGGGAAGGCGTTGACATTTTAAAACATGTCCAATAATGATAGAACAAAGATGGAATTTTAACAAATACAGTATTTTAATTTTGGACGCAACATATGTCCATGCCAGACATCCGTAGAGTTATTTATGGACACAATATCCGTCCGCACTGGCCAGAAGTGTTAAGTTAGGGAACATCCTTGTGCCATATTTTTTTCTTAAGCCAAAATGTGTAGGAGTTCTCCAAATATCACATGGACACCAAAATGTTAACAAAAAAGTTAAGTACTGCACTTAACTTTTGAACACTATGAAAGTGTTCAAGTTAAGCATTAGGAGAGGGCCTACCTGATAACTTGAAAGCCGGTGCCGAGCAAGTCTTCGGAACTGATGTCGACTGGTAATTCTGTGCAGCTGAAGTCTCTATGCTCCAGGATTTACCCTGTGACATTGCTGCAATCTGTCAATAATATGGACTATATCATAACCCAGAACCAGAGGATTACAGCTTCAAAATAAATTTCTAACAAAACAAGCTACATTTAGAGGACAGCTATATTACAAAATAATTTCTTTAAATGCATTACCATTATTTTACATCAGTAATTTCTCTCCAGCAACAACAGCCTTGGGGTTTATGCACAGAATGTTAACACTTTTGCGCTTTGCATGAGCAGGCCCCGCACTATCTCAGGTGGGTCCAGGCATTACCACGCACTCCCATGGAGCACGTGGTAATTCTGAAAAGTGTATACTCTTTTCAACTTTGTCACCTCAATTCTCATCCTAGGTTTTTCAATTTGGTATCAATGTGTTCACAATTAAATTCTCTACAGGATTAAATGCATATAACCTCCAAAAGCCCGGCTTACCACCCACAGCAAACAAAGAAAGTGAGAGCAAGTTACCGGGGAGCACGCAAGAGCAATAAAATGTGTACACTTTTTTCACTTTGGACCTCTCAATTCTCTTCCTAGGTCTTTCATTTTCATATCAATGTGTTCGCAATAGAATTCCCTACAGGAGTATATGCATATACAGTAATGTCAAAAACTGCACAAAAAACAAAAACAAAAACCGGAGCCAGAGGCACCCAACCGGCCAGTAATCAAATCAGCCAAGAACTGTCGGTTGGATCGACAGTGCGGAGGGTCTGGGGCTCTTCCCCCCCCCCCCCTTAGGGAGCGGGGAATTGCGTAGACGTCGGCGTGGCAATGTGATGACGTCATACTAGTTTAATAATTTTGTTTGGGGAGTTCTATTCACTCGTTCGGCTTTCGGAACCAATATTTTCACCAGAATAGGAGTTTGTTTTGGCGCGCCTACCTTTCTGGGTGCCTGTCCCAGTCGATGGCAAACATAGAATGCTTCCAACCACAAGGGGTTTTTTATAGGCCATTGCTTCTCGTGCCTCCCTGAGGGGCCCAGGTTCTGGCTTGTGATCCCTGGTAGGCAAGAACTCCAAGCACTTTGATGCCAGAAAATTATACATATCAATTCAGCCTGGAGAGCTCGGGGAGTCAATGGGGCTACCATAGAAAACACACACAAAAAATCACTATTTATAGTTTATTTATCATTTAAAATATTGCAAATGACAGATGAATTATTGATGAAATATTCCCTATCAAAGTCATAACAAAATGACAATTATTGTTGGGTGCAACATTACTGTAAATATGGGGGTTCTTTTGGAAGAATGTGTTAACGTTTACTCAACTGTGGAAGGGAAAGACATTTGGAATTCCCACCAGTGCAGTAGCTGGCTTTGCACTTGCGCATTGCATTGTCACAGTGTGAGGATGTGCCCCCTCTAAAGAAAATAAACATTAATTAAATAAAGAAAAATAAATCATCTCAAGCACATTCAGTGATTGGAAAATGCATAAAAATCAGTGTTAAATGTAGAAAACCAGTTTGGAACACAATAATACACAGAAATGAATAAATTGAGGATACGATTTGAAAAACATTATTGGAATGCAGATGGGTGAACAGAGAGGAACGCCAGTGAATCCTTCACCTGTCTGACAGAGAGAGTGAAAGGCAGACGACGTTCAGTGGGACACACTGGTTTTCAATATTTATAAGTGCTGGACTTTTGTGTATTATAGGTGCTTGCTTTTATTTAGCTAGATATAGGATACATAGATATATTTAAGTTGTGTACATGTTTTATGTACATGTTTTTATGTAAAACCCTATGTTTTATGGTTTTGTGTGTTTGGTTTTCGTCCATCACAGAGCGCATTGTTGAGCACATGTCTGAAATACCACATTTGCCGGCATGTAAGACTAGCTTTTTAATTTTTAAATGTACTGTATCAAAAAATTGCCCTGCGTCTAATGCGGCCATATTACAGATGGGAGACCAAGTGCCGTGGGCTAGGGAGCCCGACAAGCATACTGGATAAGTTCACTAGGCACAAAGATCGCTGCTAATAATAAAATATTGAAAACAAGCCAAATTATCAGAAACTTAGGAAAAATTGCTTACGATATGTTGACAGTCATGCTCACATCATCTCACCTCCTTACCTAGCATACACAACCCACACCTGATGTGTGTTTAACATTATTTAATTACTGTGTTACCTTTAGGAAACATTTATTCATTATCTAAATGAAAATGCCTTTACAATAGGCAAACAAAAAAGCAAAACCATAACGCCGTGTGTGCCGCCCTGGTGGCCTGTAGCAGTAACACAAAACATCACATCCAGAAATACAAGTTACACATCCTGTATAATAATACCTAATTCCAGTATACTGTCACAATACTGTATTTCATGCACAGAATCACACATTTTCCCTACAAAACCACTTTAAAATATCTTTCAATATATGTATGATGAAACATACATACTAAAAAAAAATCCACAAAATATACTTGTAAAACAGGGTGCGTCTGATGCGAGAGTGCATCTTATACACTGGTAAATATGGCAATTGAACATTTCTGTTTCACTGAACAATTTGTTACAAACAATTTGTTTGGACCTTCCAGGAATTCGTAACGTATGGTTCAATTAGAAAGAGGACACTGTAGTTTATTCTTCACTCTACTAAGTACTGCTACTTGAAAAGGATGTGACCATCTCTTCTCAAACTCTGGATGCCAACCATGGTTTTCAACCAAAATTAGAAAAAAAATACAATTTGAAATTGGATGATTTCCATATTCCTGCTCCTTCTGATCGGTTTCTCATTCAGAGTATGCCAGAAATTTGTCAATTTAAAAGGTCCACAATGCACTTGTTAATCTTAAAATAGGTCAGCAAATTGATTCAACTCTAAAAGTTTGCACTGGCTCAGCCTATGTCTACGAAGAGCAACCTTTCCTCATCAACAAACACCAAATACACATTAATCCAACCATCAAAGCCCCTGTTTATGAATGAAGAACATTTTGCACATCATCTCAACTGATAACGTATGTATTTTTCTCGAGCAGTGCTTTGTTCACGCCCTCTGCTTGACTCGCACCTCTCTAAATGCTTCATTCACATACTGCAAATACCAATAATGCCCAACAGCCTAACCACCTGTTAGGCTTAACTATTCGACACATTCTAGCATGAAATAATATTACCTTATTTATATTTAGAAAATAAATATTTTAAATAAGCAATAGGTTAAAATTGATGAATGCAACTTTGGATTTGATCACCAGGACAAGCCTATTCTGAGAATAGGTTGAAGAGATATTTCAAGTCTCGCCATATATTGCTGCACTTGATATCTGAAATGGTTTAGCAAAAAGTTTTACCGTCTAAACATTTGTGTTTGGATTTTCTCATTCATATGAAATTATTCCTTAACACTTTCGCCTGGCGACGACTCAGCATTGAGTCCTCCATAAAACAGGGGCAAGTCTGGCGAGGACTCAGCACTGAGTCCTCCGTGCAGCAACAGTAGCGGCGTTTTCAGGAATTTCTTGCTGCGGTTTTAGACATTATATGCATATACTCTTGTAGTGAATTTCATTGTGAATACATTGATACCAAAATGAAAGTCCTAGGACCAGAATTGAGGTAACAAAGTTGAAAACAGAATACCCGTTTAATTGCTCTTTATTAGCGCTCACAGGGGTAACGCTCTGTCACTTTCCCTGCTTGTTGTGGATGGTACACCGGGCTTGTGGACTTTATATTTGCATACTCCTGTAGGGAATTCTATTGCGAACACAATGATATCAAAATGAAAGACTTAAGACGAGAATTGAGATGTCCAAAGTGAAGAGTGAACACATTTAATTGCTCTGGCTTGCTCCTGGGTAACACGCTCTCACTTTCATGCCGGGCTTTTGGGCTTTATATGCACTTAGTCCTGTAGAAAATTCTATTGCGAACACGTTGATACCAAATTGAAAAACCTAGGATGAGAATTGAGATGACAAAGTTGAAAAGAATATACACTTTTCATAGTGAGAAGCGCCTTAGGGTGGCACAGCGCTCTCTTTCTTGTAACCGCAGCCTGTTTTCATCGTGTCGGCGGGTGGAGATCGCTGCTGTTTTTTACATTATATGCATATTGGCCTGTTGAGAATTCTATTGCGAACTCATTGATACCAAAATGAAAGACCTAGGACGAGAATTGAGTTGACAAAACTGAAAAGAGAGTAAACATTTTGTCACTCTTGTGCGCTTCCGGGTAACTTTCTCTCACTTTCTCTGTTAGTTGCGGATGGTAAGCCGGGCTTTTGGAGTTTATATGCATTTAGTCCTGTAGAGAATTCTATTGCGAACATATTGATACCAAATTGAATATCTTAGGACGAGAATTGAGCTGACAAAGTTGAAAAGATTATACACTTTTCAGAATTTACCGCGATCTCCCTCGCGCTCCCGCGGAACGCCCAAGCTCACCTGGGGTAGTGGGAAGGTCCCGCACCCGGTGAGTGAAAGTGTTAACATGACCTGGACAGACTAACAACTGAAAACAATGGCTAATGGATTTAAGCGGGGAAAAATATTACGCAATGGCACTGGGAACGACTGGACATATCCTACATGTCACTGTAGGCATAGTAATACAAGTCATATGTACATTCCATCCACCCATTCAAAACCTTCGGACAGTCTCGTCTTTGGTTAGGGGAATCCAAAGTAACATGTATCCTGTCCTCAACAAAGGGAAATTAAACCAAACCCAAACTAATTACTCACCTTATCCCTATATAGGGCAGCAGCTCTTGTATTGTACTTTTGCTGTAAGGCTGCATGATGCTCATAATCTTTCTGACTTGTTAAGAACTCTCTGGCTCTTTTGTTCCCACCAACCTGCATACAACAAGGGTTTTTGAAAGTAAAAAGAAATCAGAACATAATGAAGTCTAAATACAGTAGCATTTTATGGAAGCATGAACAAGAAAGAACAAGATTCATTATTCATTTCAATACAGTAATTGAAATTGATGCACTTATTCTTAAGCTAATTTGTAAATCATTAGAATAAAGTACTATACATTTAAACTAAATAGCCTGTCTCATAATTCTTATTCACCTTCATCTTTTCCAGTTCATTGTCCTTCCACTTGTCCATCGTGACAGAACGAACAAAAGACAAGTGTACACCCAGACCACGATGTTTTCCCGAACACTCGAGGCATATCCAAATACCATAGGATACTGAAGCCCACTGAGGATTGTGTGCTCCACACTCAAAACATTGCTGTTACAAAAAAAGGAAAAAAAGTATTTAATAATGATATAAATAAACAGTAAAAACCAGTGTTGAATGTAATGACACACATTCTAACATGAATGTGATGAAACCCCAGTTTCTGGGCGAGCCCTGAAGGCTCCATGAACCTATCTTACCGATACAGTATACTGATGAAGCTCGTTAATTCGGACTATATGGGAAAGACCCCCAACCAGATAGGCCGGTCATCCGGATTAACAGACTTTTATCGGGGAAGTCCAGAAGTGAACACATTCACAATTTTTTTGTACCACAACTAACAATTTGAATTTCCACACACTACACTGGGGCTGGGGCTGCCACACTACACTGGGGCTGGGGCTGCCACACAACACTGGGGCTGGGGCTGCCACACAACACTGGGGCTGGGGCTGCCACACAACACTGGGGCTGGGGCTGCCACACAACACTGGGGCTGGGGCTGCCACACAACACTGGGGCTGGGGCTGCCACACAACACTGGGGCTGGGTGGGTTGTTAGCTGCCTTGCTGGTAGGTGGGCAGTTCAAGTGGGCAGGCAGATAGGTGGGTGAGCAGGTGGGCTGGATAGGTGGATGGCAGGCAGAAGGGCTTGGTCATTGGCAGGTGACTGGGCAGGCAGGTGGGCGAGCAGGCAGGCAGGCAGGCTGGTGTACAGGCAGGTGGATGGGTAGGCAGGCAGGTTTCAGTAAGTGCGCAGGCACAGTCAGGCGGGTGGGTGACACTCTTCCTACCCATACTTCCATTTATCCATACTTCCATTTACCCACACCCTACCTTTGCCCTCCCTCCACCCATCACCCTCCGAACCCATGTCATCACCCAATACTCCCCTCTCCGTACCCATGCCATGCTCCTATTCTCACCCTCCCAGCTCTTTCAGGAAGACAGGCTGTAAGGATACTGACACGTTAGACAGGAGGTCAAGCTGCACAAAGTCTGTGCTACAGATTGCCAGACAAGACAACACTGGACAGACAAACAGATGATCACACATCTCCTTCCTTTTCAAAACTTCAACCTCACCCTTCCCAATTTATCCCAAGTGTCAACACTTGCTGTACGATGACAACATAATACAGTATGCATCTTAAGTTGTTTTAACCACCATGCTGCGTGGCCTTAAAATATGACATTCCTGTGGTGTGCCAAAAATAAATTACAGGTATTTCCAAAAAAAAATCCCCCTTTTTATATTACTAAAATATAATAATATTTTCTCTGATCTGATCTGATCTCTGATCTAATAATTCTTTGATCGCGGGAAACTAAAAAAAACCAGCGTTGAATGTAATGAAACGCCATTTTCTGGGTGAGACCCGGAGGCTCCCCGGAGCTTTACCGGCTGATATGCTAATGTCAGACTTTGGCATCAATCATGTGTATGGAGTTCTAGGGCCTACCGGGGACCACGAGCCAGAACCTGGCCCCCTCAGAGAGGCAAGGGGAGCAATGGCCTATAGAAACCCCCGTGTGGTTGGAAGCATTCTATGTCTGCCATCGACCGGGTCAAGCATCCAGAAAGGTAAGCATTCTAAAACAAACCCCTATTCTGGTGAAAATTGCTACCTAAAGCCGAACTAGTGGATAGAACTCTTCAACAGAAAACAAGGAAACTAGTATGACGTCATACGTCACCGCGCCGCTGTCTGCGCAACTCCCCCCTGCCCGGGAGGGGGAAGGGGAAGCCCCAGACCTCCCACGCCGGCTATCCACCCATTAGTTCTGAGGTTGGATGTCAAAACACGCGAAAAACGCCGACCGGAGGGAGGGAGGGTTGCCGGGGAGCCTCCGGGTCTCACCCAGAAAATGGAGTTTCATTACATTCAACGCTGGTTTTCTGGGGGGAGCCCCGTCGGCTCCCCGGAGCTAACTACCCACAAAGGAAGGTCAAAGGGACAGAACCGGGAGGCGGACACCACGCACCCCCCAAGGAGGCGAGACAACCGGCAGCAAACGCCAACCCAAGGCGCCATAGCCCCGAAAATCCCGGGAACAACACGAGAACCACGAGCAGCAAGGCCCCTGCACGAACACCAAAAATCCATGCCCGAAAGACCGCAAGGCCACGTCGCCCAGACGGCAGCGAGAGCAGCGAAGCCACGAACGCCACAGGCATGAGGGAAGAACACAGGCAGCTTAGCCACAAGAAAACGGCTGACCACCCGGGACACTATCACCCGCGAACCGGGAAGAACAGAACCGGATCAACGCAAAACGCGCTCCGGACCCAAACGCCGTGGCACGCAAACAACAGCGGAGGGCCGCCACTGAACACAAAAACGACACACCCCCGGCCCGACCAACGAAGCACCCACAAACCCTGGACCCCTCCAGAATGCAGCAGCCCCACCCCGTGCCAGAAAAGATGGAGACTGCTGCCACCAAACAACCAAAACGCTAAAACCGAAGGAGCAAGAAAACTCAGCGACTCGACCCCCAGAGGCAAAGGCCCAAAGGAAGAGCCGACGAAAAAACACACCGGAACCGAAGGGGCACTACCAACCGAGGAGAAGACAGAGCACGCTGACCAGAGACCAGGACGGTGCAAGCGGCGCACGAACAGGCCGGAGGTGAAACGACACACAAGACAGCTGACTAACGGTGCAGAAGCAACACCAAGACTGAAAGCAAGCTGAAGCGGCTCCGCCCGCGCCCCACGAAAAGAAAAGTCATTAATACTGATCGGTTGTTAACAAAACTGAATTTAGAGGATTACTATAATAATTAACAATATACAATTATACAATTATAAGAGTATCGTTCTTCCTGTGTAGGAGATCTTGATCATTCCCTAGACTGACCTTGTTGTGTAGCCAAGTAGTCAGCACTACTTCTAGTTTCCATGGGGGCCGGGCCTTACTGATCTCCCCAAATAGATACATCTTTATTCTGACTGACCTTACCCCTGAATAGCACTAGTTTTCCCCATAGCAAGCCCACCATTTTTTATAACACTAACCTACATTGAGGCTTGTAAGTGATCTACCCCACCCCTTCCAAGTGCACAAACACAAGAATTCTGACACCTTATGTTTGTGCTGACACCCACTGCACCCACAACCACTCCTGACACCCACCACACCCACTCCTGACACCCACCACACCCACACCTACTCCTGACTCCCACCATACTCATACCTACTACTGACACCCACCACACCCACAGCCACTCCTGACACCCTGCTTGCCTGACCCTGCCTGACTCCCTCCTTTCCCAATGGTAAATACCTAAGTGTAATTACCTAAGTGTAATTACCTAAGTGTAATTACCTAAGTGTAGTTACAGGATGAGAGATATGCACATGGTGTCCTGTTTTCCCAGCAATCTGTCATATAACACTTTGAAATTACCGAAGATTTTGGCCTCCACCACCTTCTCACCTAACTTGTTCCAACCATCTACCACTCTGTTGGCAAAAGTGAATTTATTTATATTTTTCCTGCAAATTTGTTTCGTTAGTTTAAATCTATGACATCTTGTTCTTGAAGTTCCAGGTCTCAGGAATTCTTCCCCATTAATATTATCGATTCTTGTTACTATTTTGTCCATAGTGATCATATCGCCTATTTTTCTTTTGTCTTCTAGTTTTGGCATATTTAATGTCTTCTAACCTCTCCTTGTAGCTCTTGTCCTTCGGTTCTGGGAGCCACTTAGTGGCATGTCTTTGCACATTTTCCAGTTTGTTGATGTGCTTCTTAACCTTTAAACTGCGCAACACATCATATGATGTGTTGAGTAACTTACCCAAAATTGCATCATACGACGTGATGGAGTACCACGCAAGATTTGAATGGCCAGTGGGGTAGGGGGGCTCCCTTACGCTGCCCAGGAGCTATAGTAAACAGCCGCCATATTGTAAAAAAATCTTGCTCTTGCTATCAACGCGTCGAAGGCCTCAGTTACCCAGCAGTCACCATGGAGAATGCACGGCCAAACGCCTCCCGAGCATGCACCACACAATCACTTACTCAAGAGCAAATAACTAGTGAATTATTTTCTGATGGTGAGGAAAGTGATTTTGATGACTGACATTGATAAGGACTACACACAATTGACTGATAGTAGAAAGTGAATATGAGATACAGCTTCCTCCCATGGCGAGGCCTACACGCTCACCAGTGCCTCCTCGCCCAGTGTCTACTCCAATTCACCCACGACCACACAGTTCTTGTGCTTATTTACGCCTATCGCTAATACTAGTGGTGTTACCACGCGAGATTCTGTCACGTCAGCAGCACCTTGCCCAGCCAAGCGCCACCGCATGGCACCACATGAGGAACCAAGACCCTCATGTTCACGTGATTTCACCTCACGTTCACGTAGCGCCCGTACTTTGCGTAGACGGGCTTCAGCTCCTGGGCCACGGTGTGCAACGCTTCCTCGCCGTTGTGCCGCTGTTGCATCTTGCAGGACACCAGGTGTACTAGTGTGGAATGATGATGACTATTTTATTCCTCTAATTCCTGCTTTTGACAAAGACATTGGAATTACAGACAATTTCCCTGATAATGGTGAGGACATGTGTGAAATGGATTATTTTACAGCATTTTATGATGAGCCGCTCATGGAATATATTGTACACCAAACGAACCTTCATGCGGCTCATCTCATTGGAAAAGAGAACAGAATATTCACGATTGCAGCGTTGGAAAAACACTGCTGTAGGTGAAATGTATGTATTTTTGACAATATGTATGTTGATGAAACATTGTGCCAAACACACTATCACAGATTATTGGAGCAAAGACCAGACTATTCCAACACCTTTCTTCAGGAAATATATGTCCCAAGACAGGTTTCAGATACTCTTCAGGTGTCTTCACTTTGCAAGTACGTAATGAGGACCGGACAGAGGATGATAGACTTTGGAGAATGAGGCACATTATGAATGAAGTGATTGGAAAGTACAGAGATTTCTACGTGCCAGCACAGAAGCTGGTGATTGACGAATCCCTTGTGCTTTTCAAAAGACCAGACAAAGGCA